TCAAGCCTTAGGGACGAAGGCTTGATTGAATGCAAAATTGCTAGGCAGAAGCTTGGCTTGATCGGCTTGGAGTTTCGATCAAGCCTCAATCAAGCGCTTGTATTCGGCTTGATTGTTGACAAGTCTGTTCTTGAGCAGGCCCCTCATGCATCCGTCCCGTTTCGCACACTGCCGTGGAAAGGCTCCCGTTCTGACTATGTCGCGGGCGAGTTCCCTAAATGATCCGAAGCAGACCACTGAGATGGACGGGTTTCGGCGGTAGTACACGATGCTATAGAGGTTCACGAAGCGGGAATAGAGAACCTGGAATTGGTCAGAGCTTCGAGGATAATGGCATCATCGTACACAGTGTCTGCTATGACATGGTGCTTGAGCAATGTTCCAGGACTTACCCTCTTGCATCCTTTCACAGATGTCGGCGCACTGCCGGTGCCAACTTCTTGACACAAACGATGCCAACGGACTAGTCCCATCGACTTGTCTCCATGAAAGTCAATCTCACTGTTCAAAGCTTCCACCAGATATCCGCGCTTGTCCTTCGTGCTCCATCGCTCAAGGTTGGCCAAGCGCTTGAACTCCTTCAGAAATGGCGCTGTTGGGTCGGGAAGGAAGCCTGGGAATTTGGTCCAGAAAGAGCACGTCTTTGAGGTTATCTGATCCGCAGTATCTTCAGGCGCCGTGAGCTGGATGCCTCCATCACACTCGAGTGGGTCCTTCGTATCCGCAGCCATGTTGACGGCACGATGTACTATGATAGTCAGACTTCCGTGACTGGACACCGTTCATGGCCATGGAGGTTCTCTATTCTGACTTACTTCCAGCGATGTTTGTCTCTGCTACGCAGGAACCTCGATGCTTCGGGATGTTGGCTGACATATGGATCGAGACCTCGTACCTCATTTCATTCTACAGGCCCGTATATGAGTCGAGGTACAGTGTTACACGGGATCCGGCTATTCTTCTCTGAGCTTGATCCGAGTAAGGCGGGATAGACCAGAGCGGTAGCCCGTGAGTATATCTGGAGTTTCGGGTAGAAAAGAGTTATGAATTTTAATTCATGCGTGGAGAGAATCCAATTCTATAACGACAGCATAGCTAGTCGAATGTCTGTGTAAGAGATAGACTATCTGAGCTGACCACAACGAGTGTAGTAAGGAAATCTGTCCACCATTTCTACCCATTGCCATCTGTCTGTCCTCCCTGGCTCCCCTTGGAACCATGCTTCTGGGAGGTTTGGGAGGACCTGGTTTCCCTTGCTCCTCTGTCCTCCTTTCCTCGGCGAGATGCCAGCTTCGGTCACGTGATCACAGCCCCGCAATGCTCACGATTTTTCGACGAGGACGTAGTTGATCTTCAACCTCACCTCCCCTCGTCAAGGAGAGAATTTTAAGTCTTACCTGTAGCATAGAGCACAGATTGTGCTTCAGGGCCTGCTGAGCGCTGGAGTATAAGCAACGTGTGAACCCCTCGGCTAGTAAGGCACATGAAAGCGACTGCTTGCTTATGTTGTGCTGTACGTCAATCGTCGGGATGCTGACACCGCATTCTGCACGCATCGAGTCTCACACCTCTGGGCTACCGCAACCTGCTTACAACGCTATGAACGGCTGTCATGCAACGTACAGCTGATGCTAAGCCGCACACAGAAGGCGGGGCAGCTCAAAACTGCTGCGCAACTGCGTGTACGAGTGGAGCCGTCATCGCTGATGATTGTAAACCTTTTTAAGGCAAGTGAGCACTAGACGAATCGATGTCCCGTGCGGGATGACCAACACGCCACGTGTGCAAAACAGACGCTGCAAGTACATGAAAGTGTAGCTCAGACGACAGTCTCACAATCACAGGACTGGCTCGGCAATACGATTATGCTGACACTCATCTTCTGGCTGCGTCATACAAGCCAGGGTCAGCAGGCTGGGTGTCTTTCCTAAGAGCCTTTTCATCGCGTCCCATACCGGCCTTGGCTCCAGTGTTTACGACGGAGCGTGAGCAAGCCAACGTACGTTGGGTGCCGAGTTAGCTTACGCATTACTCTCTTCGTACGCATGCAGTACCTTCAACGTCATGGGCACAATACTATCAGATGTACTGTGTAGTGGAAGGCCGGTGATAGTGCACACTACTACCGCTCCAAGTGAGCCTTGCTAGTACTGTATCGGATGTGGCAGGTGAAGTTTGATAAATTCCTCGACTAGTTGCTGCAAGTCACTTGAATACGCAAATATCGCATGTCTCATCTTGGCTGCTGTTTCTGTATCTAGACATCATCTCACATGGCAGGACAGCAGAAGACCCTGCCCTTCTTCCAGTCCAGTGCTGCTGAGTCTCCAGATCCGAAGCAGAGTGGCTTTGAGTCTGAGGCTCATGTAATAGTCGACTCAGACGCCATGGTCAGCGTCAGCGACGTCTCGTACTTTGCTGATGTAGACTGGGAGCGCAGCTTGCGAGGCCGGCTCGAAGACGTGGTCCACTATGGCTTGACATTTCTGCCACACGAAGAGCTCTACTCTTTGGCGATCCACAAACCTTTTCCGAAAGCGTGGCCCATACGCGACCTACCGGGATATCTGAGCAACCGACTGAAGCATGACCTAGTATCGAGATACGCAGACAGCGCCCCGCAGGAGAGCCGAGATCTATACTTGGGATACGCAGATGGATTCTCAATCCACATCTGTCGCGCACTAGAATACTGCTACACCCAGCAAGATGAATGGGACAAGAGAGAGGGTTTGTGGGTATATGCGCCAAGGCAGACGGAGCCGTCCACCCTCCGGCGACTTCCCAACCACATCACCGGCCGCATAAAAATCGTCCTTGAGATGCTGCGCAAGTGTCTAGGCCTAAGGAGACGGCCAATTTCGGAGCAAAATTCCTTCGAACGCGACCAGTTCGAAGAAGACACAAGACTGTGGGTTGCAAATCAAGTCGATATCCATCAGCCCGAGCAGACTAGCGAAGGCGTGGCAAGTCCAGAACGGAAAATGAGCATCATCGCACTGAACGAGGAATGGAGAAGAGAAGGGTACCATGAACACCTGCTGCGAAGATATGTCTGGTACAGGATGATCAAGGACGCCCCGTCTCGACAGTACGAGGTCGATTTCTTGGTCAGCCAGCTGTTCGACAAGCCGTGGGAAGCACGGCGCTGGGGCCGATCGAATGACATGAACGATGAGTCTGACCTCCGTATTCATCACGCCAGATAGTTTGACAGAGGAAAGGCCTAGTCCGTGCTGGTTTGGGGCTGCGAAGGAGGCGTTCCGCGCGTCATACCTTGGCGCACAGTGGAGGCGCATGGAGAACGCTGTGGAATCGTATTTCGGTCCTTCTCAGAAGCAGGAAGGATGGTTCTGATCACAGTAGGACTATGTGAGTCCAGAACGGGCCGCAAGGGGCAATAGGATATCAAGAAAGCTGTAAGGATACAAACCTTCGCCTCCGCTAGCATGCTAGGCGCATTAGACCACGATCTCGTGACACAGTCCCCATCAATTTAGACCATGTTCCCTACTACAAAGACAAATATTGCAATTGACTTCCAGCTGCATAGCCGGTAGACTTGGAAGGGCTAGATAGCCGTGACTTCCAAGATACAGCCTCGACAAGAGCACGCGCGGGCGGTAGACCTTCTTGACACTTCTAGCGCAAGAGGTTCTGCCGGACGGTTGAGTGCGGGTAGTGTAGACAGAAAAACTACGAGGGAGTGTGTGTTGTATTGATGGTAGCATCCTAGCTGAGCTCATACAAAAGTGTCGCACGGTTGGGTGCGGGTATTTTAGACGGAAAATTAGAGAAGGGTGTATTATTCTTGTATTGTTCTAGCATCATAGCTCAGCTTATATTCAGGCCCTCGCACGGCACGATTAGTAACAGAGTTTAGGTTCACGAAAGCGCTTGGCCTGCGACAAAAGGTCATCGCACGGCGTTACCAGCAACAAGGTTCCAGACAGCGCTTGGCTTGCGACAGGTTCCGTTCGAGTTTTGACTCGGTAGAGCCTCGCATGTATCTGTATTCGGTTAGCGTCGGACATAAGAGGCCCACGCTGCACCGGCACCGTTAGCCAGCACCCAGCCATCAAAATCAGCCAACTGCCCTTGTCCTGCAGATGAAAGCGGCTTGTTGTCTAGCATCCAGGGCGCCATCGTGATCGCGACTCCGATACTCGCTATGGGGGACGGCGGCCGGGGTGCATAAGACACGGACCAGATTGTTGCGATCCACGGATGACCGTAAGCATTTTAGAGGATCACACGGCACAGTACAAAGCTGCCCTGCGTACGTGCTGACTGGTAAGCAGCTTACGCTTGGCTGAGCTGAAGCTGCTGAGCCTGAGCGGAAAACAATCTGTCGACCCATGCAGCAGGAATGACATGCAGCCTTTGCGATGAACGTGTCATTCATGGCCGTATTATGCCGTTGTGCTCTCCCTACGCGCTTATACATCTCATCAAGCAGCATCTGAACCATCTTGCATCTCTGTAAGCGCAACACGTGAGTCGGCTACGGAAGCAGCGTCTTTTGAGGGTGCTGGGAACGAGCGTGCCTGAGATTGCGCTTACGTTTACGAAGACGGAGCTGCAGACGACTGCTTGTGCGCGCAGCCGTACGAGAGGATGCAAGACTTCTTCCCCATGAACGCAAGCACCGTGCGACTCGAGACCTGCAGCACATGAGTCGTTGTATGTAGGATGAGCGGTAATGTCGCCTGCTGTAAGCATAATGCCGGGTGCTCGACATTCTGTTGGGATGGCTCAGATCGCAGGCCATCATCTTAGTCGGGCGTGTCGCGACTAGCGCTAAGCTGCTTCGAGCTTATGTCCGATTGTCTCCGCGGGCTTCGGAAAAATGAACGCACGGCGAAGGCGGTCATTCTGCGTGCCGTCGCTGATTGATGTCCATCCCCCACGCCAGGAGAAAATCCTGCACGGGATAACAAGCAAGGTACTATGACCTCAAGCATCCATTACTCTGCGCACGCTTGAAATGTAGATACAGCGATGATAGAATGTGTACCCTAGTATCTCACGAGCCATTGTGACTACCGCCGTGTGGTCGCCACAACGCCAAACACACTGAGTGGCTTATTGAACAGCAAAACAGTAAGGCTTTGACTCCGTAGCGTCGTAACGCTTTTGTGGACCAGGATACAAACTAGGGTGTCTTATTTAGTACTGAAAACCTTGAACCAAAGCAAGAAAGCCATACCAGCCGTATAGCTGCTGTGGGACGCAAGGTTATGCACCCGGGCCGCTACTTCCAACCGAGACGAATACCGCTTCCAGGCAGCATGAAACAGTCTTATACATCTCACACTAGCATTCTTCGTAACTTACCTTGGACATACTCCTTCCGTAGATCTTGAACAAGTCTTGACTTGGCGAATACCCTTTACGTACTTGCGCATCGTCGCCTAGTACGCACTACCATAATGTCATCTTACTACATAGTCGCTCACTGTGTTCTTATTCGAAGATGTTTGTCATAATCATGATCTATGTTCCTCTTTCTAAGCATACCATTCTCTTTCCCTTTTCACCAAAGCAACTCCTTCCTTTGCCGTCTGTCATGACCGGTCCGTAGTACACATGTCCTTGACAGTCTTCCCTCTTACACCACCATGTTGACACATCTCCACCCTTCTCAAGAAAGTAGCAGAGTTCTTTACACGACTTTTCCTTTTCAACGTGCGCACAACTCATGTCGGCCGGAAACCATGCACGCGTAATGACAATGGTCTTGGTGGTCGGATGACCGATGTCTTTGAATTCAAAACAATCGAGGTTGTCGTTCGATACAGCCAATCTGTGCCAACCAGCATTGCTCGGGCGGACAGAGGGTTTATTCTTGAATATGCTAGGCCACCAGCGTGGCGGCGGTCTAGGCGGGACCACGACTGTCAGGGTATAGCGTGTATTGCTCGGCTCTGTCTCGCCCAAAGGATCAAAGTAACGCACAGGCATCTTCCCGTACTATGCACGTAGCTCAGTCAAGTCCATATATAGGTAGGTGGATGACGAGTGCCTCAGGCTTTGTGCGAAACGGACTGGCGCAATATCATGAGGCTCCCTCGAGGGAGTGATAAGGAGGAGGCGACTCGGCGTGTGTGCGTGTACCTAGTAAGTAAAGACTTTGCAGTGTCAGCATCTGCATAAGACGCCAGGGTAAGCGGGTGGCTATTGTGAGCGAAGTATGCACACGCAGACACTTGCCGCCGGCTGTATGCTCCATACTGTGCGGTCATACTATGCAGCTGTATGGCAGTCGCTCCTACCGCTTATCCTAGAGAACGAGCCGATCGAGCCACTGACCCTCAAGACAGGAGACGAACCACTTCGTAGTCCTCTTTGTGGTCAACTTGTGTGTATTCTGAGCAGAAACCCATCAGCAGGCCTTGCTTTCGAGCTTTCTCTCTATCTGTGTTTGCTACTAGTGTGGCGATGTTTGCTTTGCGTATCTGAAGCCCTCGTTCGCCGTGTTGGGCTGTGGTGGGCGAGACTGCTGACCCCTGCTTACCGTCAGCGTGACCAGCAAAGCAGGCCTCGGTTGTCGAGGACCGCACCGCACCTAAGCATTTTATGCTCACCCAATCTCGGTCGAGTGAGTCGTCATGTGTAGAATGATGATCGCCCGTCCAGGTCCCGACGGCTATGGCGAGGGTGAGAAACTGATCGGACTCCATCGTGTGGCAGAAGGATGATGGACATACGACTAGATGGTGAATACGGCGTAGTACGCCAGAGCGCATAGCAGTATGAGCGGCATCCATCGTACTCGTCTGTCGCTGGTGTACTCGATGTGTCTTCTATAACAGGCCGTCTCCTGCGCGGTCCAGATGCACTCTTGCATTCTACATCGGATCTCGCAAGCCATCATGAAGCTCGCCAACCTACTTACCACGACACTATCCCTTTTCGCCGCCTCTCAGCCGCTTGCTAGCTCCAAAATGAAGTCCAGTGATATCTGGATCGGCTTGGACTTGAACCAATGTCTCACCAACGCCAGTATCATCCCGCCTCCAAAGTACGTCCTTACCACGGAAACTCACCCCGCAGCGCCAACATCACCCTCACCAGAACCCTCACACAATCGACCTACTTTCCTAACCTCCACAGTTTGCTGGCTCAGCAGGACACAGCTCGGGCAGTGATAGAAGCCTACAATGCCTGGAACATCGACGACATCATGGCCTATCGATCGCCTGATTGTATGCACCGTGTGCTACCAGCCTCAATGAACCGAACCGCCAGGAGCAACGCCGAATACCGCGCGTACCTCAGCGCCATCATGCCGCTGTACTCCGGCTTTACCGTCAGTGCACACTGCTTCACTAGATCGTGACCTGACTGACAGCTGCAGGTCGATGTGAAGGAAGAGGTCCATGATGCTGCGG